CATTTCACTGTCTACCATCCATCCATTAAGCTACTCTAACTGCCTGATTATTGTGCGGGTTAACGGTTCCGGCGAGTGTATAGCACTTTAATTGCTAATTTACTGAAACATTAATTTAAGTCGTGTCAAGTCGTGAGAAGACCCGGTGGGGATATAATGACTCAGTGTAACTAACGCTGCACTTAGCGTATGAAGCGAAAAGCGCAAAGAGTGTGTTGAAATGTTTGCGATGCATGCATGTATCCGATTTCCATGCAGACACACAGTCGAAACACGGACATCGCACGGACACAGGGGAAACGGCATGCTAGCACATAAAACACGCGGCTTCAAATGGTTTAGGTCGGGACAACTGTTACAAATTTGACACGTCATTGCAGACGTCTTTTGGAAGCCCGTTTAAATTCATTTGTAGGGTTAAACATGTTAGGAATAGAAGCCTTAGGAGAAGGTAAATAGCGGGTAAAACCCGGCATTTGACTGGAACACTCCGAAATCCTAAATAAATTGGAATGCAAGGGCAAGATACAAATTATCCAAATTAAGAATTAAGATGTTTGACTTACTGTCATAAGATGTTTAAAACACATTTCTATTGCTGAAATATTCAGTTCAATTCGGTTTAGGACTTTGGTTCTGTCAAACTTCGATTGTTATAAATGGTTAAACAATTTCCAAACCTTCACAGTTAGTGCTCTATATAAACATCACTTAAATTGGCTACATACACCTACTCGATGCCACTTTAGTCGGCAAATGTCGTGCCATTACCAGATTTTCCCAATTCAATGGCACCTATATGTTGGAAGTCTAAACAAGCGCACTGGATGTCTCGGATTCTTCAAACATCATCACGATGTGCTTGTTCAGATACCTCATCACGAGAGGCAAGTCCCATTAGTCATTCATCAGGCAGGCAATTTTCGACTCGCTCCATCGACCGGAGCTGTACATTACCGGAAGTAGTGTATCCACTTTCGCCAAATACGCACTTCCCCCGGCCCAAATTACTGACTCCCAGTGTGTGCCTCGTGTCTCCGCCTGTGCTGTGTAGGCGACTGATCAGATTTGGCAGGAAAAAGAAACGATACCTTACGCTTGCATACACACACGCATACAAACACACAATGCAGCATTTGTGAACCTTGATCTCAGTTGTTCCACGTAGTTGGCTAGTAAATGGAATGTGGAAAGTGGAAATGCCTCATATCCGGATAGACAAACAATGCACTTGCCACCTGTAGTGCTGCCTTCCCCTCCACGATGGCCTTTGGTGCGAGTTTAGCTGTTAATGAATAGGACGGCGATGTGATCCTAGTGATGCAACTCACTCACATTGTATGGGTGATTAATTATGGGAGCAATGGTAGAAGTTACGAACGGTTTTCTTTCCTCCTTTTTACGCATTGTCGACCTAAGTGATTGCTGAGGCTTAAGTGTAATAGATCAAGTATTAATGCTAACATTTTACGATGGAGATGTTTTTGCTATTTAATGCCAGGAAGGCGGATCATGATTAATCAGTGCTACCTAGAACCAATCGTTTGTATCAGTGCCAAATTCCTCTATGCCTTTTAATTATAGTAGACCAATATAATGGAATTACTTGCATTACTTTTACAATAAGTAATCATTTAGATCGGAGCCCCGAACTCAATCCCATTTGTTCCTGAATCTTAATTCTTATGACCATGACCAAGGGATGTTGGTGATTTCAGTGTGTCAAGATCTAACTTTACACTTCGTAATAGCTTTATTCAACCTCATCGAAGCAATACACATCCCTGTACGAGTTGTAGTGAAGGTCAAATCACTTCTTTTTTTGGGTATCAACTCAATTCAATAACAGGAAATTAAAGTTAGTAAGGTGTCATGTTTTAAACGATATTTTCAAAATAGTTTCTAAATGTGGAACGAAACTAAAAGAATGGGTTTTAAGTCATGGGGATCCCTCATAGATCTAGGAGTTAGTTTAGTATTTTGGGAATCTTTAGTGTTAGGAAACTACTATTACCTTGGGCTGGTTGACATTGCAGTTACCTGTATTTTCAGCCAATTAAAAAAAAATTTATTGAGTCTATTCATTGTAGTTAGTCAAACTTCAATTGCAACCAAAATGACATCGAGTAGTTGGTCAACTAATGCGTAAAAAAATAGTGGTGGAATTAAATGAGCACCAGTCTGATGTAAACTAATTTGACAATCATCGAATAGCCTAAGAACTTGCAAAAGGTTGGGGTCTCTCAACAGTAAAATTCTTAGTGCTCATACTAAACAATGACTTCTTATATTTTTTTTACTAGAAAGACCCTTAATAAAGAAGAATATCTTTAGTTATAGAGCCTAGGAAAACAATCACAAAAACCTTTACAAACAAATAACTTTCATTGCCCTTTAAAAGATTTCAAATAAAAGAATGCCTTGAACAGGTTAAAGGCACAAACCATACAGCAGGTTCGGTAAGTAGTATCTGTTAAATACAGGCTCAAATTTGGCAACACTCATGGGAAAAATCCAGGATTTTTTGATCATGTAAAACAAAACACATAAACGCACCAAGTTTCTACTGAAACACCCTAAATCTAAAGGAAATTTTAGAACTATTATTATTACTACTTTCATGAATATTTAAAGTCTATGAACGGATTACCTCTCTCCGTTATGATTAAATATACCTTAAAATTACTGCACTAAAAACTCTACCTCTTCAAACATAATTACTAAATACTGTTGCAGAAAATTCGTACACATCATCATTTACTAAATTTGGCAAAGTTTTGACGCCCTTCAAGTCACATTTTAGTTAGGAGATGAGATGGTTAAGACGGAAGACGTTATCTGACCTTTGCACCATCGGTAATGCGTTGACGTGCTACTGACTTGCCAGCTTGGCATTTGCAGTGGCATTTAGAAGGGTGAAGACCACTCCTCTGCGCAAGAGCGCCTCTCACTATAACAAGTGACATCAATTATTTATTCACATGATGACTATTGTAGTGCGGCTATCAACACTGCTGAACGGTCAGTTAGTATGGAGGATTAAGGCAGAAAGTAACCACAACGTGTCTATGGAGGGACATGACTCAGTAAGTGAACGAGTTTGACCTTAATTGGGCAAATATGTTTTGTAGCAGAGGCATACTATCTTCCTAAATTACTGCCTCATAAAACGCCAATAAATGTGTATTTTTGTGTTGATTTTGGGTCAGGTCTTAAAAGCAAACGAATGGTCTCTCTTCGTTTTAAATTAAATCATTATGTAAGTCATGATTCATATGTTTAAAAAGGCTTAACACGCTTTGTATTTCCTTCAAACTATCGATTCACTGGCAAGCATTTATTTCACCTTAAAGATGTAAAATTGCATGGCAGGCTTAGGATTGGACTCTATATTTGCCTGCTAGCGTTAACAGATTGAGGGGAGTAAATTTTACCAGTTAGTTGGGTAACCGCCATAAGTAATGTTAACAATGCAGCAAGCCTAGGCAGCACACACAGGATAAGTTGAAGGTAAGTAGTGGCGTTTGAGAATCATAAACTATGGTACAAAGTGGCACATATTAAACAAAGAGGATAAAGTAAATCCTTAAACCTTCTCCATCTATGGCCCCAACGGACTGATCTTCATAAAAGGGACGCAAAACCTATACATATCTAAATGATTTATATTTCTTGTGTGTCGCACCCAAGGAATCTATCAGCTCCAAACCCTTTGCGTACAAAAATGACGATCACAAGGCCTGTGCCTTTCTATGGGCAAAATGCCAAGCCTAATCAACGTGGCAATGATGCAAAAGGCCATTAGTGGTTTTTTGCGAAAAAGATTTTAAGTGCTTTAGATTCTTATCATAAAATAGTCAATTTAATGTATTGACAAATTTTTTATTATCAATGTTACTAATGGCTTTTTAATATTTGTTTGTTTCACAACTGATCTCTGGTTTTAATCTCTGCCGAAGTTAGACACTCATTAAAAAATAGGATACAACTAGTTTTGAATCCCTAAAATGGGATTATCAAATTACCGTTCCCTTATATTGAACGCCCCCAGACCCATTAGGAACTAAGATTTGTTTAACTGAACTGCTGTTTCTGTCCAAATCTAGTTGATATATTTTTTTAAATCACTGACGTGTTTCAGGGGTGACAAGGTTGGGTAATTTATAGGCTTTCAAAGTTAAGAATGACGTAGCAAGCAATCTCAATTTGATTATGCACACTATGGAGTGTTAAGTCACAAAAATATGCCAAACTCTTAGGGGTTAGTCATGCGTCTAGTCACTCCAGTAATCCTCAGATGGCTGTCATATATCGAATGCATTACTAGTGAACTCCTGATGTACAAGCCAACTTCATCAGTTCAAAAAGTCCTAAGATAAGGAAGGTTTTTGTGGACAGTAAAGAACGTTCAATTAACAGTCATCGAAAGCTACATCTTATTAAAAGAAAATGAAGGTTGGGTAAAACCGACACGTCATGAGCCTGTCTAAGGCCCGCTTTTAATTGATCAACTATTTACGAAAAAAGTCAACTGAGACTTCAACTTTTTCAGTTTTAAGTGTCTAGTCTATCGTTTTTCATGAAGCATCACTTATTATGCATTAAAAACATAGCAATACATAGCAATGCCAAGGACTTTGATAATTACTTTATTGAGCATAACAGCTAATCATGAAAAAATCAGATTCTCCTGCTAACGCATTATATGCTATGCACTAATTCGTTGCTGTATACACAGAGGGAAATTATAATCCCTCCAAAAAATTTCCAAGACCCAGTTTAGAGTTGTTACGGTAGGCACTGATGACTCCATAGCCAAGGATTCCCTTATTTACGTGGTGTATATTCATATGTCATTGTATGGACAAGACTAAAGATTTCCAAATATGCTAATCCAAAAAAAAGGTATTAACTTAATGCAAAGCTTTCAATTCCTTAGTAAGATCACTGGAAATTAATTGAAAGGAAGCGCAGACATGAGGCGTGGTTTGAGACGTCTTTTAACCTAGAGGATAGGGCGGTACAACTTGAGTCACCTCAACCTCCTGTTTCACACCGAATCGAAAGGCACAGCGTCCCTCGGTTGTTATAACAACTGTCTTAGGCGTGCTACTGCCCTCGACTCTGACATGCGTCAACCTTGGTGCTGAGGGAGGTCGAGGTTTTTCTAGGTAAGTCTTCACAACATCACCCAGATCGGCCTCAATGCTCATAAGGAAGGCGTTATTCTTGCGGCTGTCCATGCACACCGCTCGGATGCGTCCCCGAAGTCGGGTGTCCACGGCAAAACGGCAAGTCATTTGGTGTTCTACGATGTTGACCTTTAAGGAGATTAAGTCAACCAAGAAGCGAAGTGCAGCGCTGAAGCTATTTTTACTTCATTAGTGGTTTGCGAAGAAATTTACAATACATCACTGTCGTACAACAGTACATCACATCTTTAAAAGTGTAGCCATTACTTGTAAGACCAAATATAAACAGTCACAGACCCCACATTTTTACCATTCGTTATCTTGTTTCATCATTGTAGCTGTAGTTACAGTTATTCGACAATGAGGAACGAATTGTCCATTGTACTGCATAAAAACAAGATTTTGCTACCTTTTGGTAAAAAATTTAACTAGCTTCCATGTCATAGCTTATGCTGAATCTGCATTACCAGTTTAGGCCTCAAAATCATGTCAGTGTCAACAGTAATTAAGTTACAAACCTCAACGTTGGCAGCCGATTTTGGCTGGACTTCCACACGTGTATCGATACCCCATGACATCTCCTCATCTAAATATTGTCGAGTGGCTTTGGTGAGGGATATCTCCTGTGAAAATCCAGCATTTGCTTCCAAAATTTGATTTGGTAGCTAAAAAGTGAAGAAGATACATTTTTAGCATGTTTTTACCCTCTTTCCTTGCAAATTTCCATAAAGTCTTCCTATTCATCCATTCTGATTTTCTTGAATACAAATTAGAAATATGCAACTCATGATGTCTGATTCCACAAAAGATAGTGCACCACTGTGCTGTAGCAAATGCTTGGCTGATTTTATGGAATCACTCTGGTTATTCCGGTCCGCCTTGATTAATTGCTATCACGCATTTCAATAAATGCCTGTAAGAATTTTCAACCCCCTTTGATAAAAAATTGCGTTCTACTTTGTCTACATTCACACAAACTGGTCATGAACCAACTAGGAACTTTCGGAGCCTCGAATTATTTACACTGATATCAAAATATTCTCACGCACAGGAGAAAAATAACAGGTAAATAGACGGAACTTCAGTTTATTTATATGTATCAGTATTGGTAGAATAAGTTTTTTCATGTCAAAATGCCATGGATTCCATGAACCATTCAGTGCAATTTTCACAATGGTACCTAATTTTGTGTTACTGTCACTTGGAGAAGCAGGCATAACAGGGACATTTAACAGCCTGTGGCTTAAACAAATTAATTTTTTAAGTTTTGGAATCCCCTAATAACAGATCACTTTAAGTATTATTAACTAAAATATTCAACTTTTAAAGATGGTGATCAGAAATTGATTTTACTGCACATGCACCAATGTTATCAAAGCGAAAACTTATTGCAAATCTAACTGACCTTTCTGAAAGTGGAAGAAAGGCATCTCAATCCACCCAAAGGGGCGCGCTTTTGTAGGTCTGTTTTACACCAGTATTATAGAACTTATGTACTCCGCGAAAATCTTGCAAAGTTAGGTATAAATAAAGATATCCCTTTATCTACCTCTCCCAACATAGCTAAAACCTCAGAGAAGGGTAATTGCATGCATAATTTCTCTCACTGTTTACAAGATTATCCTAAGGATTCATTAGTACGCAAGCCCAAAGATTTCCCTACATCCTCAAAAAGTGAGTACTGTAGCATTAAAAATTTTATGCTATTTTAACAGAATAGAGCATTCCTCTCGCTTAATAGCACAAATTATTGTTTGAAGTCTACTATATTGAGCCAAGTATCCATGAATGTGTATCTTAAGAAGTAGATTAACTGATGCCTTATAGAGGAAAAAGAGTTTTGTGTAAAGATTGCTGTGTAGTCTCAAAGCTAAGCCGAGATGTGGGGCAAGTATTTGGGCTGACTAGTGGTACATGAAAGCTGGAGGAGTCTTTGGATGACTTAAAAAAGCAGGGAAGTAAGGGGTAAGAAAGGGTATTTGGCTTTACCAGAGAAAAGGTATCTCAGTGAATTATGGCTGCCGGAATTAAAGTATGAGAATATGTACAAATCTCTCAATGTTTTATAAATACTGTCTTCACTTAAACATTAAATTATTAACTTCTAAGCTATTCGCGTCATATTTCTGTTGGCAGAAATACTAGGTAAGTTGGTGTCGTTGGAGGAAGGACTCAATGCGACTTCAACCTGCCAAATTTATTTTGCGAATTTTAAGTATCAACGTAAGAAATCGTTTCCCATAGATTTAAATCAGAGAAGTCATTTTGCGTCTGAGAAGATACTTTTTTGGTTGACTCAATTTTCATGTTTTAAAGTTGGTCAGCGGCTGGATAAGCTTCTAGACATCCCTTACCACCTCCAGGTAAAAGACACCTTTTCCACAAATATTATAGCACTGTAGCTGTTAATACACTACCACTTAGGAATGCCTGTTTCAACCGCCTTGCACTAAACCCCAATGTTGAACGATGAGGTGGATTAGTCTAGTGTAATTATGACCCAAATTTAAGTGGATTTTGGTATTTCCAAAAGTTGATTCAGAACAGATGTTAGATTGGAGAAATCGTTCTTTGAATTTACTCTAATAAGGGAAGGATTGTATCTTCTTTGATTTTCCTCATAGTCAGCTACCATTGTGACGTAAGGATTGTTCTCAAACAGGTGGCACCATATGTGCTCGAACGATTGACTTCAAGTGTAAATTTATAAAACCAATGAATCTTAGGTCGCAATGAAACATCTCTGCTTGGGTTTCTTAAATCAAGCAAACCAGAGGTTAGACATGTATGCGATGATTTTGGTTACATAGCACAGGCACCGCTAGCGTATGCAGGGCGTTAAATCATAGACAATCGAGTACACACTTCCACGAGCCAACAGGTAGGTGCGTGGTCCGAGTGAGTAAGGTGATGGCAGGCCCTCACTCGACTTTGCATTCAAATGAAGTGTTTGTCGCTGGCTTTAACAAATTCACGAATTTGTACCAATCGTGAGAGCTCTGTGTACTTTTATTAAATGGCAGGCTATAACTAGGCTTTCTGAGATAACACCATGAGGGGGATAATGCTGATTGCACCTGCCCATTCAAACATCATTCTAGCAGAAAAGTAATGGAAAAAGACTATAGTACCGAAAATACAGTGATTTGAGAATGCTAAAATAACTTAACTTCTTGGAGGTTATATTTTTCAGATTAGTTTCAGTAAGTGCTTTTACATACAATCAAATATGCGAATAACAGTACCACACTAAACAAAACACGTGCATTTATGAGTGCTTTTGCCTTTTATGCTGCTGGTCGAATGATGATGCCCGCTGCCTTTGGTCATTTGACATTTTTTGCTCGTCAGTCAATTAAATTTCGCCCAACGGGGTTGTAAAATTACTTAGTCTTTCTCCAAACTGTGTAGAGAGCTTTTTTGGTTTACTGGCAGAACAAATTTTGTAAATTGTAGATTTCACTCACAAAACGTGGTCCGTACACTTCAAATAGGTGAGTGAGCTTAAAATATCTTTAGTGTCTGAAGGAAAACTGACTTTGGAAACGCACTTGCTTTGTCCTAATAAGCTGCTTTCTTATTTTAACGTAGTGTAGTCATGTCAGGGGGCAAATTATCATTTAATTTAAAGGTGCATATGCATTATTTTTTTTGCTTTGAGTCTTGGGAGTGGGCCGCTTAGGGGCTCCGCTGTTGCACCGCCGGGCAGTCTGGCCCTTAGGCCCAGCCCGTAGCCCCAAGCCTTACCATGCGTCAACAATACGTATTCTATCTAGTTATTATATCTTCTTTCGTCTCCAAAGAAGTTACAAGGCGCTGAACACATTTATTTGGGTAGATCAACTTATTTTTTGTCTGTACAGCAGAGCTGATATCGACCAGATCCTTTAACTGATGTGTTCTCTCATGATTGGCTTGGGACCTTAGAACCTGGCACAATTCTATGGGCAAAAACACATATCTTCGAAAATAGAATCTGGGAATTCTGTTAGCGGGACGTTAAGTCGTTATAGGCCAGCACATCACTGGGGTTATTTAGACGTCTCAGTTATAGCAATGCATGTAAACACAATTTTAAAAGAACTGCGGACAAATATAATCATGCAACACAACATTTGACCTGTGTAATTTTTCTGTCACTTTAAATGTAAAGCATGTTTGCTTACATTTTATTAGAATTAAAAATAAATTTTATTAGGCAAATGCTATCCACCTCAATTCTTGATGTCAAAATCTTGAGATGAATACTACGAAAAAAATGATCAGTGACAAAATTACTGAAGCAACAAAGCTAACACCTATCAATTCCTGCTCACCCAAAAGTCATTTTTCTGACAAATTTCACATCTACTCCAAAAAACCCTTTGTTTACTAGTGTGAGAAGGTCTTTTCAGATGTTTTTTTATTTACACGGCAAATGCGTGAAAGTGGTGAGTGCCTATATAATGAGATTTAATACAATCTAAGAAAGGTCCAAAGATGTTCACTGTAGTCGCTGAAGCCCTCAGTAGACATTAAAAAGTCTAGAAAAATTTTCCAGGCAGTAAAATTAGGCAAACGCAAACTTTCCGAATGGACATGAGGTAACTTCACGACGAAATAAAGTGAAATGCATTTAGGAAAAATTTTGGAATGATTTAAAGCACTGCTAAAATTTTCCAAACTGCGATCTTCACCCTCAGTAATGCTTTCTTTGCAGAAGTATACTGCACTCATTAAAGAATTAGGAAATCAAAAGTAAAGCGAAATTGGGAGTTTTTATTTCTGCCATTCTTTCTTAGAAGGCGTAATGGGATTTCGGAGGCAAGATGAGTAGAGATTATTTGGAACTAGATTGGAGGAATGACAAAAGAAAATTTCGGATGTAAGTGACATGCGAAGGGACTTAGCATTTACAGCAGTATTCAGGTCAAAAGCTTCCATCAACTACCTAGAGCAAATGATAAGTCCACTAATGGATGTCTCAAAGTCATCATCAAAATCATTTAACCCTCTAAAGTGAGTAACTTTTAACTAACAGAAACTGTTCTAAATGTCATGTTTTATATATAATAAGCTAGCCATTTGTCCAATTCTCGATTTTGGCAAAACGACTACTTTAGGTCTCCCCCACTGTACCTTCCCTGAGTGGGCTAGCTTCCAGGCCATGCCAGCAGGCACAATCCCTTCTTCTAGGGCATTGTCTTGTTTCGTCTTCAGGGAAGTCTCGGAACGCTTCAGATCTACACATAGACATGCAGCAAGCAATTAGATTGAGAATAAATATAGCCTTCCAGAGGCACGGCACACTGTATTTATGGAGCTTAAAAACCTTTCATGCAGATTGACCCTAGAATTCGCAGCAAAACTTTTAACATCTCCTCAACCGGATTTTGCGCTTTTATTTGGATCGTTATCCTAGATAATATCAATTAAGATTAAAATGAAAATTGCCAGATTGGTTGGATATGTACGACATGGACGGCTGTGAGCTGACCGCATTGAACCCCGAATGAAAATAAAGGATGTGATGTAAAGAGGAAAATGGATCAAAAGTCTCACTTGCAACTTAACGCCTAGTTCTCGATGGGCACTGAAACCTTTGGAGATCTCAATCTCCGCAGTGGAGCGGGTCGAGCGATCGGTGCGAAAGTTATACTCCTGCACTCCGTCGGTGTTGTTACGATACGCCGTGCTAAAGAGCACATGGGACTTGGGCAGGCGTACAGAGTGGTTGTCGGCGAAGATGGGGACATCGCTCCAACAAGCCACATCCTCCCACACCATCTGAACCTCGAGACATCCCGTGGCTCCTCCGCTTCCCCCACAAACACTCTTTCTGGTCTGACCGTCGGCGGCCGCCATGAAAGCGTTCACCGCCCACGCGCGCACCACAGCGGTGAGGTCGAAGAGCTCCGCATCTTGGCGAGCTGGCGTCGGTGATGACGCTTTTGAGGTAGTTGCCATAGTAGTATGAATTGTAGTGGACATTCGTGTGCGCTAGCCGCGTGGCGTTAGCAGGAAGGGAGAAGGTGGCCAATCAGTGGCTTAGCGTCACCGCCAACCAATAGATAGAGAGAGAGTGGATGGAGGTACAAGATTAGATTTTTCAGGCGCGTTTGAGTATTGAAAGTGTTGTCTGGTTGATAATGGACCCTTCTAAATGGTTAAGTATTGCGTAAACTTTGGTATCCTAAAAGAATATAATTTATGAATTGGATTAAAACAAACTCTATTTAATTTATTACAGTAACGGTCATTTTATGGGATAAGATACTAGCCTTTCCAAATGTTAACCTAATTCAATGGAAAAATGGCTACTGGGTTAATTTAGATAATGCAATTAGTCATGGTAGTTTACATCGTAGGGAAATGTCTCCACTCAAAGGCAAAAACGCTCAGCATTCCGAATTGTTATTAATTCCGGTCGGTTTAATAACAATCGTAGTATTGCCATCGAAGTTGATAATCTTAGTTCATGCTGCCGAATGCGTTAATATTGGTTTCAAACCGCTATGCAGTGAAAACCATTCTTATTTCTCTATTCATACGAGCACTATGGGGCTTTGCATTGTGGGAGAAAACCGGCATGAGAAGACAAAATTTAGCCCATTTTAAGAACCGATTTTGGACCTACTGAATCAATAAACTTAAAAATATAATGACTATAATTAAGCATTGGTAATAGCTGCTTGTGGCGCGTCCACAACTGACTGCACAACCAAGAATAGAGAAATTAATGAGGAGCTTCCTTCGAGTGCAATAATCACCACTGTGGTTTTAAGCCACATGAAAATTCGCCCATTTAAGTTAGAGTTATGCATAGCGTTACTGCCTTGCCAATGAATCATAAAACTATCTAATTTATACGATCACTGATATATTACTTTTAAGGAGTAATTAAAAAATTCTCTCTTGTAAACATTGAGCCCATCAAAAAATCGGTTAATAATATGGTTTTTATATTTTTTAAATTAAATCTACCAAAATTCATAAAGAATTGAAGCTACACAAAAGATGTTTTCAATCTGCAACATGGTTTTCTGGTCCCGAAGGTGGCAGAGCATAATTATATAAACTTCATAAAAGTCCCTTAAAAGTTTACGGTAAACATTCTATTGATTTACTCTTAGCTGCGGAATGTGAGAATATGGGGAACAAAGCTCCTTAAGAAGATGCGAATAGAAACCCAAATTAAATCACTTAACACTTAGTTTTGAGGGCATTCTTTATCTGGAAATACCTTGGCTGACATAAATTCAAAAAAGATCTAACAACTGCGCGACTAGCCAAATTTTATGCAATATCGTTTATTTATTAAATGTAAACGAAAAAAGTGGGCACTGAAGTGCATGTTTATAAAAATTGGCACTATTGTTCAAAATAACAAAATAAACAACAACTATGACTCCGAAGATGTACACGGTTTTGAGATCTAAAGTGCAAAATCTGAATCTTCGAATTACCTATTTTCGGAGTTTGACCACGGAAGAATAAAACCAATTAAATGAGAGAGGGGCACTTTAGCCTACGAGTAGCGGTTGTTGGCGCGTGTTGGGAAGCCCAGTTTCCGTGATGGGTCCTCCACGCAAAAAAGATCGTGTCAATAAGGGAAAGCATTCCCTTAACCCTGGTAATATTGCCACTTCTTATGCCCGTATGATATAGATCGAGGCAAACAGGAGAAGGGGTCCACGATGCGGACGAAAAGCACGATTAAGCGTCTGAACATGTATCGCAATTTTAAGGCTAAGCGGTGAGTTGCCATGGTTAATAATCCAACTTAAGTGATAAAAAGGGTCACATAATTCGCGCTGCTCCATTTCAATCCACCGTAGCGTCCGGGACGGTCTCACGTGTTGAACCAAATCGTCGCTGGTTCGGTAAAACCGATTTCCTACGTTTGATGAAATTAAGGCAACACGAGGGTGATTTCACAGGATTCTCTACAGGCATTTAAAGAAGCAATGAAAATTAAGAATCCCTATGAAATTATGCTTCGCCAAACACGGTTGCCTATTTCTCTGCTGGACGAGAAGAAAGTGGTGCGTTTAGGCCTCTTCATAATTAAACAATTTTTAGAAGAAAAAACCAGATATTCTCGCCGCTGAGAGTTTCGCGTACGTATTCGGCAAAAAGGCTAGGCGTAAGCGACCCCATCTCGCTTGTGACAATCTGTCGGTGAGTTCGTCTTTTATCTGTCATTGGTTTTATACCAACTTGTTTGAAATCCACTATTGTTCATTTGCAGTCTCTGGTCCGTAAAGCAGAGAAAAATCGGCGAAACTACCTCCAAGAGAAAGATTGCAACCTCCAGCGTGATAACAACGGGGTACGTGATCTGACCAGTGACCCTCATTTCAAGGCAGGAAGCTCCAAACGTCTGTGGAACGAGCTTTTCAAAGTTATCGATTCTTCTGACGTAGTCCTTTATGTGCTTGATGCCCGTGATCCTATGGGCACTCGGTCGAGGTATATAGAGCAGTACATGAAGAAGGAGAAACCCAATAAACACCTTATTTTTGTCATTAACAAGGTGGACCTGGTACCTGTCTGGATAACAGTAAGTCTACCCTCACCTTGCTCTACTTCTAACCTATTTAGAAACGGTGGAAAACCATACTGTCTGCTGAGCATCCAACTCTCGTTTTTTACGCCAATCTGACTAAGCCTTTGGGTAAAACTGCTCTGATGAGCCTTCTGCGTCAACTGGCTGGTTTTCACGCTAAAGATCGTCACCAAATCAGCGTGGGTATTATTGGTTATCCTAACGTGGGGAAATCGAGTATTATCAACGCTATGCGGTAGGTTATTTCAATCTGATATAAATTATTCTTTTAGCTCCAAGAGGGTATGTAAGGTGGCACCAGTGGCTGGCGAGACCAAGGTGTGGCAGTACGTGACGCTGCTCAAATCAATCTACCTCATCGATTGCCCCGGTGTTGTTTATCCTGATGGGGATACAGAAGCTGAGATGGTCATGAAGGGTGTGGTGGGTTCCGTTTTGTTTTTTAATTCCAAAAAATTCTGGGAGGGTTGCGCCTTAGTTTTAGTACTGAAGTGCGCACAATCCGAGACGTCAGTGACCCGAGTGCTTGTCGAGTGTCGTTGATTAGGAAATTTTGTTATCTTGCGGCCGTAATTATGTAAATTCGTTACCTATCAATTATGTGTTAGTATTATTGATCGTCAACAAAGTTGAACTTAGCGTTCGGCATTGACGTGGTTGATGGGTAGCGAAATGGAGTCATTTAAACGAAGTTGGCAGCGCAAGTTGAGTTTTCAATGAGATGGAGGAGCTTCATGATGTTGTTATATTCTTGACACTCTCCCCTTCTTACCATTATAACACTGATGATGGTTGAATGGTTGAATAAAAATAAAATGGTCAAATCCAGTTGGGAGTCTTGCAACCACATTATCCTTTACTGTCTAGCGAAGCCTAGCCTTTAAGAGAAGACCGATCACATTTGATTGAGCGGAATCGTATGTAAGAGCGATAGAGGTTATTTTCCCTCATAGATTGTACAAATGGACAATAGTGTCGAAGGCTTTCTATACACTAGATGTCATATTTGCTGACTAGCTGTCAGGTCTTCCCGTCTTTGGAAACCGTGCAAACCACATTTCACATTGTCACGCGGCGTAAAACTCCTCGCTGCAATAATTTTCCCGTATTTAAAATAACTACCGATGGCGGTTTGGGCGAGGGCATGTCAACTACCTAAGCTTGATTTCCATGAATGACATGATTAAATGTTTCTCTTCTGTATTTGAACCAAGCATTGCTAATGGGCTCTCTGGTGGTATTATATAGTACCCCCAAAACAGTAGATTTCGACTGAAGTTACAAAACAAGGTGCAGGACTGTGCCTAGATGACTGAGGTCGAGCACTGGAAACAAAAGACTGATTCATAGTGAGGCACAGTAGCTGCGTTCAGGAATTTCTAGTTTGTTGCCATACTCACCAGACTAACTACCACGACTTGCAGGCATTACAGATTGTCAAATGATACTTGACTTAAAAGTGAATTATCTATTATGCCGTATTCTTCTCGTGTCCCAGACGTCTTTTACCTATCCACGTGAACGCTGGTGTTCCTAGTAGTATCGTACTGATTGGATGTATGTAGATTTTGTTTTACTCGTTACGTAATGAAACGAGTTTATTGGTCGGGCTGAGGTTTTTTATGTTCAATTATCTATTACATCTATCCGTCTCGAAAATGTGTTCAGGTGCGAGTGGAGTATTTGAAACAGCCAGAGATGTACATTCCTGAGGTATTGGAAAGAGTGAAGCCGGAATTCATGCAGCAGCGCTATGGACTTCCGAATTTCGATCCCACCTGCCATCCCCTCTTCACTGAATCGGTAAGCGAGCAAAATACGGCTGAGATGGTTGCTGCTTCGGCTATCGAATATTCACCCACTGCGAGGTGGCCCGTAGACGCCAATCTCTTCCTTGAACTAGTCGCCAAGAAGACGGGCAAACTTCTCAAGGTGCGCTTACTCAACACTCATTTGCCGTGAAAGAACTGCTAAAATTTTGATATCCTCGTTTTTATCAAAATGGCTCTATTGTGAGACTGATTTTAGGTTCATTTTCTAGGACGGAAAGGTCTGTTTTTGTTAGGAAAATTTGTGTTGTGTGCTTTAAAAGGGAACGGGGCTCTTTTTATTATACTTTTTAGATGTTTCAATTAATAAGACGATTTTTTTCCAATTTATATTACCAATTGATGCCCCCATGACTTTGATAGCTTTCGTTCCCTGTATCTCTGAGGCCCAGAATCTGCATGGCTTCCCCTTTACTTGTATCACATTTAATTGAGGTAACTTTTAGGGTCCATATATGTGCGAATCAACGTCCGACTTTTGAAATACTCATCAATCCTAGAAATGCCCGTGAGAACCAGGGACTGTCTTGATTTTGTGTAGTCTTGCTTCACTTTGGGTTTTTTTGTTGTGGTTTTTATAAACCCATGGTGAATTCCTTAATGGGCGTTTGGCTGTTTTCTGGGATGTTTTTGCCATTTCTCAATATAGCTGGAAAATTCGTCAAAAATACCAACAAATCAGTTGTTAGAAGTTCGAATATGTTAAAATATTCCCAAAATTTTCGTCTTTAAATCGTAAACCTCCATTCAGAGATGAAACTTGATAGGGATTAGATCCCACCAATGGTTGTGTTCATAGGGTAGCGAACCAGACATCATCACAACAGCGAAGCGCGTGCTCAACGACTTTCAGCGTGGAAAGCTTCCCTACTTCGTGAAGCCACCCCCTCTCGAAAACGACAGTAATGGTGTCTCCGGTGTTGCCAATACTGATTCTGCTAGTGCTACAAAAGGTGATCAGGGGGAGGCTACACCAAGGGAAGATACACTGGAACAGGTGCGTCGATGTTCATCCAATTTTCAATGTTGTTATTATTATCGAACCTCATCCTTTACCTGCCTGGAAATTCTTTTGGTCTGCTGGGATTTAACCATTTATTTCTGGATTAAGAGCTGTTACGACTTAAGTGTCAACGGTGCTTTGTGTTTCTGCCACTAGGCAGATGTACTTTTTCCCTAGTGCGATTTATCATTCATTTCGGAAGTATCAGGGTTAGTAAGAGTGTTTAACCTAATGGATGGATGCGATTTTTTGAGTTTCATGCTTCAGCAGTTGTTTTAGAGAAGTCACAAAGCGAAGTGATGTGGTAGGTCATTCAACAGACACCATCTTACATAGTTGCTATTACAGCTTACACTCGTGTTGATTACTTTGTTTATTGTTCGAGCTCAGTACAGGTAGAATAAGTTTATATCGACCCCGGCAATCTTTCCAGAAATCCATTTTTGCTCTTCCAGCTTACTGGTTTGGTTTAAGTTTGCGGTTTTGAATACCCGTCAACAAACGAAATTAGGAAAATGCACATTCCAACTGCCTAATTGGAAGCCATGTTGATTTTGTGAGGCTTATACAAAATCGTTCACATGCAAAATTCCCGACTTGATAACCTTAGATTAACTTTTGTGGTGCATTTTAGTCACTTGACCGTTCGAATGGCGGCTCAGTCGTTGAGAATTAAGGGATTTCACAGGTCTTTAATTAGGCGACCTGATTCCTCGTGAGTAAAGCCTTAGTAACCAGTATTTCATGATCGCTTTTTGTTTAGGCTATCGTCTATTTACGCTTATTTAGATGCACCCGTGATAGTGTACGATGGGCTTGAAGGCAATTTGTATTCTAAGCATGTCTATATGACGAAAATCGCGTTTGAGGAAGCATATTATCAGCCCCATTACAACCTTTAACATTGCAGGAATCTTATTTGCTTCCTGCAGGCCTTTATCGACGCATTCGACGCTGAACCGGAGGCAGAACATAATGAGGAAAATGTGGAAGAGGAAGTGAGTTATATCCTGCTTCCATATTATTGTTTTTTTCACAACACTAGAACATGAATAATTTGTACCTGAAGCAATCCCCAGGCGTTTGTTTGCTTAGTATCGTATACCAACAACAAAGATTTGATGGATATCTAGGTAGCTTTGTACGAATTCTTGTGTTAATATTTTCAAATCAAACCGCTTTAGTGGTGATTTTCTTGAGGCGGGCTTATTAGTGCTGTTTAACGTAACAAACCAACTTGTGGATTCCACTTCAGTGAATTGGGTAGATAAAAAGTTGTGTACATCGCCACGACCAGTTAAGGCTGCACTTCGACTTCATGAACGAATATCGCTCTCCAAAACACTAGAACTTAGCTATCATTTAGCATTGTAGAGACCCTTTTGTTGAGTCCACCTACCTCATTTTGTATTCAATGGACTAGTCTAGAATGTATCGGAACTCTAACTATTGCTCTCCATGTCAAGACTAGTAAGGAAGAGGAGACGGCTAATGAAGAGGAAAGTGAGATAGAATGCGTAGATGAAGCAGGTGCCGGCGGAATAAACCTTCTGCCCAACTCGGAGGACGAAGCGGAAGCAGCAGCGGAGGAGGAAGCTGCGGCATCATTGAAAGGTTTATCGGCGGCTCGTAAGCGTCAATTGGAGCGCGCCTTGCGCAGGAAGGCCGGCCGTGCTGGCCGCCACTATTACGAGGAAGTGAATGTGAAGAACAGAAAGCGTCGTAGCGGTGGTGGTAAAAAGTAGAACATTTGTCCGGTTGCTCGTCCGCTGTGTAAATAGTCACCCTCACTTCGTCTTCGATCCTCTTTTGTGAAGTAGTAGTGGAGGGTAGACATATTGGGGTCACAGTGTTGGGAGGAATTTTAGCACTTTGACAGTGTCGCGCACGATAGTACTTCAGTCGACGCGATGCCTAGTTCAGTCGTTACCGCGGCCTAATGAATGAACAGCTACAAACTCGCTTGATTGTTCAAAGCGCGGACTCATGCCGGCTCATTAGTGGTAAAACCTTGGATTACCTCATGTGTAGATCTCGCGTGTGTCCGGCATGAAATTGATAGTACTACGGCGAGCTTGCGACTAAGCAACTGGTCGTCAAAGCAGAATCTTTAACATCACGCAGATTGACATCACAAGCGTGGGTGGTCCGTCGTGCAACTTTCATAGCTGGACGGAGGCATAGTCACTTGGCATCGACTGGGCGAGGATAAAACGGCTTAAACCGCAAATAAGAGGTACCGGTTAGCTTGTGTCTTTAGACGATTTAGTATGAAGAGCGCAAATCAATGGTCGAAGTGCTGTGCCGACCCTAAGAATATGCGTCGTTTTGAGGGATTTTCTCGGAAGGGTTATCTCCGAAGCCTTAACCATGTGGTTGGGAAGGCAAACTATTAGGTAGTGGGTGCAAAGTCTGCGATCAGTGACGCCGTAAATCTTTTGGTAAGTGATCTTGACGTTAGAAGGAGGTCAATATCGAGGCAAATATGCTAAATTAAGAAATTGCATGAGCTGGTGGGGGGGCATTACAGCGATGACAACTGGAAAGTGTCACGACATCGGAGAGTCAGGTCCAGCGTTACCCCCCTTCCAGCGCCGTCTAGATCATTTCATCTGTTAAGCAACTAAGAATTCCTCTTGCTAAGGCCCAATCCGAGTACGCTGGATTAATGCCAAAAAGCGGAGACGAGAGACGTGTCGGCTGCGGAACCCACCCCCGAATCTCTAGAATCGACGGTGAGCCGCATATAATCCCAACCAAATTGGAAGCAGATGAGCGCTTGACGCGTTATTGCTCGAAAGAAGCACGTGACGATTCGTGCTTTCCGATCGCCGTCGTGCTACAATCTAAAAAAATAATCCATTCAGGGTATATTGGTCCTTGATCAAGACAACCTAGAGTGAAACGACCGTAAATTAGGGGCGGAAGATTACTGGGTCGATGATGCCAATCAAACTGTGGTACGGCCGACAACACAATCCCAAGCCCGACAGCGAAGTTTCCTTCAAACTAGGGAAGTGCTTTTCATTTGTACTAAGCGATTAGGCATTTCACCAGTGACAACGATTAAAACCATAAGAGAAGGCCGTTCAACAGGGCGACGAATTGCAAAGCTGGCTAACACCACAAATCCGGAATATCAATGACCAGCTTACAGGGTCCGCTAACGACCTTTACAATTGTAGAAGCCACCACGTCTTTTAAAAAACGTGAAAATGTAGAAACCTACATCAAAATCCTTTGAATAAGCACCACAGTAGCAGGAAAACACATGAGACAAAAATATATCAAAGATGAGTCCGAGGGCATCCCAGCCTCAACAACCAATGCCACAAATATAAAGGAACAAATACGATAAATTTAATTGACCATTAACAGATATGGAAGGGAAAAAGTATCAGAGGATTATTTGCTGATTTTGTTTTTGCCGGAACCAAGTGGGCCCTTCTGAGCTACTTGTTTAGCAGCGGCGAGCTTCTTCTGCTCCTCCTTTTGTTTCTGCTTAAAGGCAATATCCTCTTCATCTAATTCCTTGGCTGGCTTTTTGGGTTGTTTTAAGGGCTTCTTCTTACCACCCTCACGATTCATCTCGGCAGGACAACACGCACACGCAGCAAACGGGTTTTAAAACAAGCTGCACCAACTCAAACAAAAATTCATCCAGTGAATTATTGTTTTACACCATCGAAAGGCTTTCAAGTTAGCAATACTTGGATGTACCTAAACACAAATTAATATTCAAACCTCAACCCGATGCCGGAAAATTGGAGATGGTTGCTTACAGACTCATGAATAACGCCTTTATGATTTTTTAAACGGACATTATTTTGAGTGTTATCTACATGTCCCCTTACCATGAGGATGCATACATAGCGCCTTGAGGCTACTTCAAAGACAAACGAAGATATAAAGTTAGGGTAAAATAAAAATGATCGACGTATAGTAGGGCATGAGCTATTGGCATAACCTGGGGTTAAGCCCATTGGGGGAAGTTGCAATGGCGGAGGCACTTATTAGCTCCTGTACCAAAACCGGAAGTCACACAACCAATGCATTAGGCACGGATGTAGAAACCGACTTATCTGAGTAATTTAATTTGTCAGCACGAAGTCGAATTCTCCAGGTTGTACGTGGATATGCCAGTTTTGTTTTGTGTTATGGCATAGAATTAAACAAAACCATATCGGACTACAACTTTGCAAAAATTGTTGGTTAAAATTAAAGAAGTTAACCCATTAACAATGCAAACAAAATCAATAAAGAAAGCGGAACTATCTTATGACAATAGTCTAGGACACGTTTTGATGATTTTTTTAAATTGACTACTATCACAGTAGTTTGGACTGATAATTATAGCTTTTTCATAATCAAATTAGTATCTTGCAAATCTATAAGGCCGTTATGGTTAGTAGTTTAGCGCCATTTCACGCTTAACCAAAATGAATCTTTTGATCTGGTTGAACTTCAATTCAAAGGATAATTTTAAGTGAAGAAAATAAAAAGTGGGAGTGCTACTTAATTCATGCTTGTCTGAATGTATCCCGTGTGCAAAACGCCGGTTATTTGACTCTATTTTGCTAAAGAGTGACTTTTGATTTAGTCATTGTACTGCATCCCGTAAGCTGACTTTCGGGTTATGTCAGTAGCCCTAGTACCTGCTGTATGCCGAATATATTCTGCCCTAGTATTATGTCTTCGTTCGTCTTGAGAGAAGTCTCAGGACGCTGCGTCATGACTAGTCAGATTTCATCAGCTCCTGAAGGAGCACTTACTATAGACACTCATAGCCACGATGCCTTTACCCTTTTGATTAGTACTAGCCAATAAAGTACAATGCCTTAATTGTTCGTTTAACTCACCATTTTGGTAATGGGACACTTAGAAGTCCCTCTATCGTACCTCCGCCGGGTGACCTGGCTTTTGGACCCAGCCAGTAGCCTCAAGCTCTACTGTACTTCGTCAATACTCGTCTTGCCCGAGTTTTTTCTTTTTTCGTCTTCAGAGACGTCTCAGATCGGTACAATGACATGCTCTCATCCAATTCATTGGTTTGTTCCAAGGGTGTGGTTATGGGGTGGAAGAGAGAAACATCGAAATTAACGCAGCTATTAGTGCCACCAAATAATTAAACTTCTATGCAGCGTTGTTTTGTTGAATGTGAGCCATCAGAAAGAAATGATAACTTCTTCAGTAAACAATTCACTTGAAATTACATATTCTACAAGAATCTAGTAAATCTGGTGGCAATTTTAATATTGGTGGAGGTTATTTATTAACCAACCCTTTTGCCTGTTTACAGTGGACTGTTGAGGTGCCTCCTTTTAATACCTACTTGATACGTGCCTTCCATGGTAAAGTGGTACTTTATACAGTGACATTAGTTAGTCACTAGTCAAGCTTTATTGCTGTTAAGAACAGGATGTAGTTTGGAGCACCAATCACAGTATCAGACTGAAACGTAGATGCCAAACTGGATGAGATAAGTGAATGTTGCCCCAGAAATACTGCAGGGAGTACAAACGGTGCACATCCATCCTCCACAACTAGCGCAGGTGGTAAATGCGGAAGACAAGGCAATGCCAGAATTTTTGTAGTGTGCATAAAAAGAATCATGGAACTCTCCCCGAATTCAGTTCTAAATTAAGTCCAACTTAACGAATGGTCGGTTGAATAGCTGGTATAGTAGACAGGATTTCATTTACTGATATCGATATGACGGTTGAATTATGTCAGACGAATATGGGGTTAGTAACTTTGTGTTTTTTCAGCCTCTTAAAGCCTGTGTATTAAGCTTTCCAAATTAATCCTCCCTTTAATATTTCTCAAAAGATGATAAGAATCAACTTGTTTGTGAAGACTATTTTTTATTGTTTTCTTCAAAGTTCTATAGCTAAAAAGTATTTTTTGCCTTGTTGGAGGTCTTACCAATAAAATAATGTAACGAAGTCAATGATGAATACTAGTGCTAAGATCCCTGCTGAGGAAAGCTATAAAAATTGGAAAATGAGTTCCACTGGAAATTGCCAGCTTTTGCATGTTTTTAGGCTTTTAGTGGATGATTAAGTGGGTCCGCAGTAGATTAATGTTCGCTCCCATCCAGTACGCACAAATAATTTCACCAGCACTTTTGCCTTCATTGACGAGATGATGAATGATAATTTTTATTCGGAAAACACAAGTAAATGCAATTTTAACCGATCTAAGGCGATAGTGGTTCCTTCGAGTGAATGGTCCCTTAAACACTTAATTGACTCTGCTTTACAATAGATCGAAGCGACCTCAAATCTGTTCACTACATTTAATTTCGCCTTAAATAAATCATTTTGAAAAATCTGCTTAGAAAACATCACCGACTTCTAATTTTTAATCTTTATTTGATCGGATATCTAACTCAAAGAACTGATAT